AACTCACTCAGAAACAATCTTTGTCGGTTGAAGTATCCTATGTAGCCAATTAAAGGAAACAAATTAGTTTACCCACTATCCAGTCTGCAGTGACTCTCAAGTCAAATACATAGGTGGAAGTGGTAGAATAGGGTCAGTCAGACTGATGGAGTATAAAGAACTAGCAAAATCCAGATCAGTTGTCCCGAATGAGATAAGAAATCTGGAGAATAGCTCAGCTGTGGTGCTCACAACTAAACAATAGGATGGGATAAAACGACAGCTTTAAAATCTGATGTAACAGGGTGGAGATAGAGATTGGCAACGGAAGCTTTATTTACCGAATCGACTGCAAATACGTGTAATTGGAATGATTCAACGCCTGTTCAGCCGAACATCTGGAAAGTTATACTACCCCTACGACATACCATAAAACGAAATTTTTGAAGTTATGGGGTTATAATTGATGGTATGATAATGAACAATAATATATTGTGTTTGAAACCTTCTCATCCAGCAGGTAATACAACTGTTTCACTGTGCGTTTTATCTAATAAACAGCCTAATATGCTATTACTTACTACCGAACTTCGCAACTTCTGTGCGTACATTATTGAAGTAACTAATGAAATATGAAACCAACACATACATATATACATCGCATGAATAGTGTATAGTACATATATATCAATAATGTCAATAATAACTATAGTGTAAGGGAATTAACTGCTGGACTAGTCAGAACAGTAAGGCGAGGGAGAATGTGAAGAAGTAAAGGGATGTGCTTAGTTGTACACCCATTGATAGTGTGTGGGTTCTAAGGGGATATGCTGTTTGGGGGCTTGCGTCAACGCATGATTTTCCGGTCTGTGCTTAAGGCAACGAAGTAGCCACATCCTCCTGTAGGGAGCTATAGGGGTGGCAGACTCGAAGTGAAAAGAAATAGGAACGCACTCAAGTCATTGTTTCTCCGGTGAGCTATCCTTCAAGGATGGCCACGAGGAAGCTCATTAGTACTCAGTGGCAGAATATCTATGTTTAGGTGTTTCTGGTCATTTGTAACCTTATAGGCAGTAATTAAGTTTCTCCTAAGCGGACGGCAGCTAAGCGTGAAAAGACTTTATTTCTTCAGCAGCTCATTATATGGTTTGTTTCGTGGAACCATCATCCCCGTCTTTGTACCCTTTACAAAAGTTTAGCGTCTCTCTTCTAATTAGAGGGGTAGCAGTAATATTGTGCACCTCATGCTGTGGTTTTGTACAACCTTGAAGAGCTCAGAAGTGAATGCAACTAATTGTCTATGTGTAAAATGTATGGTTGCGTGTGACCCTGCTACATCATCTGTGTAATTCACGCTCATGTCAATTTTTGCTGTTAGAACTAGACCTAAGTTGCGCTACTAGACGATATATTTCGAATTCACACTTGTTGGTAGGTGATAGAAGCTTTGAAGCCCGCGCCAATCCTTCTCTAATAAATTTCGGTGCTTGCCTTATCCCTCCTCGGATGAGCCAATCGAGGGCGAAGACACCCCTGTTTTTCTGAGATTTGGTTTCAACAGCTTATGACTCGATAGGAGACTCTGTACCCCACAACGATATGGTCACTTATCCGCTTTTGAACTCCTCTTCTGAGAAGTTCCAACATGGTGGGAGGAAAAATGGAAGTTGAACCAGGTCCTTAGTTGTTTCTGGGAATTTAGAACACTGCAATGATAACTGCGGTCTGCCTACAGTATGATAAGAAGAGGATTAAACTTTTAAGTCACTACTTGCATGATAAATTGTTCGGATAAGTAGAGTGAGGATAACTGGTTAACTGGTAGGATTGCGTGCGCGAACGACTGAACGTAATACGATAGATTCCCGAATGAAGTGGATGTTCCACCGTGCACCTTCAGCTTATCACACAGACTGAAACAGTGAAGGTTAGCATCTGGTCTTGAATGAATAACACTGTAGAATAACAATTTTGTGGAATTGTTTAGCGCTAGAGTGGTGTAGCTTCATACTTTTCAGGGAGACTGTTCAAGGAGGTAAATGTAAAAGACTTGTTTGCTGATTTTCCATAATATGATCAGACCTGTAGACCATAAGAGGGTTCTGTCACTTCAGACTTTGCTGAATAAACTTTTGGGCTATGTGGTCTTCCCCTATCCTCCATGAAAACTTCCCCGGTGTACCAAGCGCTGTAATGGGTTCTCCCGTGATAGTATGCAACAATGTTTCAAGATGTAGTTTATAAAGCATTTAGAAACGTATTATAGGGAACCGAAGGGAAATCACACCTTAATATTGAAGCAAAAGACCTAAATATTTTACGCCAACAGTTTTATCAAAGTATTAATATCACTTTTTTCAAAGGCATAAAGTAAATCAGCTCCATGAAAATTTTGAACTCATAATTGCGTAGGTCTGGTCATGAAACGAATTTTATTACTTTTATATGCAACATGATATCCGCAAAACGAAATGTTATCTTTGATATAAGAATATATCTTGGGTGTTGTAACAGAGTATAATTCCAGCTTGGAGAAAATTTTACTTCGGCAAAGTCTCGCAGTGTAACACAATACGATAATCAAGACAGTGGAAAGAATTATCAAGAAAAGTATCATGGCATATCTGGAAAACAACAGCTTGTTATCTGGAGAACAGCATGGCTTCCAAGGAAACCTCTCATGCCTGTCAAACATTCTCACTGTAGGAGAAAGCTGGGCTAAATCAAGGGAGAACAGAAGACCTGCCGAAGTCATCTTCATAGACTTCAGCAAAGGCTTCGATAAAGTGCCTCAAAAACGACTACTCAAGAAGTTGGAAAGCTTTGGTATCCAGGACAGCTTAACAAAGTGGGTTAGGGAATTCCTCATAGGCAGGAGTCAGAGGGTCAGGACTAACTCGAAATGCTCCTCCTGGGCAACATATCATAGTGGAGTGCCACAAGGCACGGTACTCGGGCCTCTCCTATTTATATGGAATCAATGTGTTATCTGTGCTCATAGATTACCAAATGGTCCTATGCGCAGATGACTGAAAAATCTGGAGAGAGCTGGAGGGCGACAGTGATAAGCTCACATTGCAAGGGGGCCTCAACAAATTAAATTGGTCCAAAGAGTGGATGCTCCCGATCAATGTGCACCCATTCGCATCAGACACGCAAGCATCAGCTCCTACGAACTAGAAGAAATAAAACTGTCATCAGTTCATACATATTTGGTGTCATAGTAAGTCAAGATTTAAAAACTACAGTACACCATCGCGCGCTGGCTGTACGTTGTTTCAGATCCTTACGGGCAATCCGCAGAGCCTTTACAAGAATCACCAGAGATATGTTCACCCCCTTATATACATCTCTTGTGAGGTCAAGACCGGAAGACTGCACCCAGGCAGCCAGTCTTTATCTTAAAGAAGACTCATAAATTCTAGAAAGGGTTGAGAGGAAGGTAACACGCATGATTCTCGGCATGAATAATTTACCATATGAGGAAAGACTAGACAGCTTAAATCTCCTCTCCCTGTCACACCGTAGGCAGAGAGAAGATTTAATCACAAAGTTTAAAATTTTAAATAATGACTATGGACCTGACCTATTTTCTCTTTTCCTTCCCACCAGGTCGGAACACCTTAGAGGACATAGCTGTAGAGTTCAAAAGCCAAGAAGAAATCATATTGCTGAAGGGTTAGAAAAGCACGGAAATTTACTAGAGAAGGATTAACGTACACTCTAAGCCTCCTATCCTCAATTAATAATGTGATGAACTTATATCCATAATGTTGCTGAGCAGTTAATATTCTCAACTCCTGTCGGAACAACTGAATTTCATAAACCTTCCTCACGCTAAGAAAATACCCACAAGCAGTAGAAATCCATTAATTAATGCGTCCGAAGCTTATGTACTTACTCCCAACAATGACATTGAAGATAAAATGAGATAAACACATCACTGATCTCAAAATAACACATCAATGAACTATAATTCGAGGACTCTGCACACAACAAAGTTATGTATGAATATTTACTTCAAGCTTTATTTTTTCCCAGGCACTTATAATCCATCCACCAAAGACCTGGTTTTTTTGTTAATGCGAAGACAATACTCCTGTATTTCCTGTTGTGTTGCACTCACTGACAATCTAGCAGATTTTTCCAACTTTGCACAGAAATGATTGTATATAAGTAACTGTTATACTACTGGATTAACATTATCAAGTGTATGTATAATCTCCAGTGAACATGTAAAGCATATCTTGCTGCTGGATGTAAATTGTGATTGAATTATATGGTTCTATTTCTGTAACAATTTGATGATGCCTGTAAACTGGCGTCCCTCATGTACTGTACTATGAGAATAAATTTATTTATTTATTTATTTATATGGAGGAATTACTTCAAGCTTTATTTTTTTCCCAAGCATTTGTAATCCATCCAAAACATACTTGGGTTTCTTTTGTTAATGCGAAGACAATACTTCTATATTTCTTGGTGTGCTCCATTGAATGACTACTTATCATATTGTTCCCATAGACAAATGAACGCAACCTTATAATTTTACCATGAACCAAATTTATGTAATTTAAATGATACTTATCCATGCCTGTACAATTGGTGTGTCCTACACAGGTAGGAAAAAATGTATTTTATTAAATTACTATTATTAAATATGTTTACTAATCGTATATGTAATTTATCATATTGATGATGCCTGTAAACTGGCGTCCCTCATGTACAAAATGAGAATACACTATTATTATTATTAATAATTCTGAATCTGAGTACAATTTATTGCTCATAATCAAATCCTTGATATGATGCCTTCCTTCATGTTACTCTTCTCTTTAATGTAAACCGAGAAAATGGGGCTGTAAATGAAAGATAACTAAAAGCATAAGTATGTTCTATTCACTCTTCACTTGTCAACTGTGAAAGCTCAACTTCTATCATGTGATTCATATTGGATATTGAATAGCGTTTAACAGGCGACGAAGATTATGTTCACATTCAAAAGGTTGCGATACTAAATCATGTTGGTATCACGCCTTTTTCGGTTTTTAAGACACCGGGTGCGGAATAACTGGGCTGTAAATAGGTATTTTAGATTTCATCCTAAACTTCCGTCGTACCAGCTTTGAGCAACCATTGCGTTTTATTCACCTGGAACGCAGTACTAAATCAAACTGGGACTTCACCAAATTCGTTGAGAAGCCCACTGATCTTGCTGAAATAAGAAATTTTCTACAATATCACAGAACTAACACAGTATTATTCAAGAGAGAAGAGCTCGAAAATATGACATGTGGCATATGGAATGAAGTTCTCAAGGGTATTTTCCTTTTTTAATGACTCCTAAGTACAGCTGGTGATATCGTTCTGGTGGAAAAGTATTTGGAAATGCGAGTAAACTCAGGATTAAAATTAAATGCTAGTGAAATTCTGGCTGACCTTAGGAAAGCAGACATAAAACCCACACTGGTATTTCTATTATTTATAGCTTATCGGTTTTAGTCAGTTTTCACTTCATTTATTCGTCAAAGTTGTCTTTCAGGAAATATTAACGAGACAGAGTAAGTAAAATTACTAAGCTATATATCTTTCAGGTTACACATACGCTCACTTAAGAAGTTTGGATTCAACCCGAATTCGTTAATTTTTTCTCTTATCCTTCATGGTTATCTTAAAGCTGGGTACGTTCTAACTCCTAACCGTCCGATGTTTTGCTTAACTTTCTGCATACAGGTGTCTTAACAGCAGTTATAGGCAGATATTGATTTGTTTACCATAAAATGAAACACTTTTCATGAAGTAGCATGCAAATCATCTATTCAATCTTATACTAAAAATCTTTCTTATGTAATTGTACAGCTTGGATTTTACTCTTGTTTTCTAGGTTACCAGAAGAGGTTGTTGCTTTTCAAGAAAAATTGTCAAATATTGGTTTATGGCCATCGAAGTTTGGTTATGAAGGTCTTTTGTCTGCTTATGCTGATCTTGGTGACAAAGTTAGCTTTTTAAAAACACTTGAAGAAGCTCTCGCTACCCTTCCATCAGTAAAGTCAGCGGAACAAAGATACTCCTCCGACCCCATGTTTTCATCGTCGTTTATTTTGGATATGTACACCAGACTTACATGCTCTATAGGGACTAGTAATGCAACGTGTGATGAAGTATGTTAATTTTTGCTGTTTAATCTATGCGTTGTTTTTGGTTGTAATTATGGAGATATTTACAAAACGAAAGGATTTAAACGGGATGATTTATTATTGATAGCCTAACTATTTTTGCATACTTTGGGTGACACTTGTGCATAATGTATTTATATTAATGGCGCCATCTTAAGGTCTTATCTCTCAATCTACTTCTTTTACGCCACTCATTTTAGTAATACACACAGCTGTTGACGTTGCAGATAAGTGGTGTTTTAATGTGATCTATGTAAATTTGACTCATAGTGAATCCAGATATATTATGATCGAGTAAGTTTCCGCTTCTTTCACTAATCTCAAACATTAATGACTGGAGGTTTCCATTGTTCCTGATACCTTGGTTCTCACATTTCTGTTACATACTGTTAATTCCTAGTATCTCTGGTAGATTGAAGGATGTCTTACTGACTTATGTGAGCATGGATATACTAAACTAGCCTGATTGAATTTTCTATCCTGGTCAGCTGTTAGTCTGCTAGCACAATGAAATAGGTAATACCGAATGATGCTACAGCATTGGACTACATTGACTCCTAGCTTAGAAATAGGGAGTGAAGTGGTAGAGCGTGTTAACCACTTCACTTATTTGGGAAGTTGCATCAGCCCCAACGGGTTGATCGCTGACGAAATCTCAACACGGATACAGAGGGCTAGTTTCGCATGTGCAAGTTTATACCGCCTCTTAGTAGACGTGATATCCGGCTGGCTATGCACCAAAAGACGTGTGTCCTGCTCATCAGTCCGCTCCATCCTCCTTTATTACTGTGAGACATGGCCATTGAGAGTGGATGACATGAAAAGGCTTACTGTCTTTGATAGTAAATGCCTGCATTCCATCTCCCGTGTGAAGTGGTATAATAGGGTGAGCACCATTGAGGTTAGGCTTCGGTTAAGGGCTAGGTAAGGAGGGAGGAGGAATCAATCGACGAAGCTGTGAAGTTACATCGATTGCATGAGATGGTTAGGACATGTGTTACGTATGCCTAGTCATCGCCTTCCTCGACGGGCAATGTTAGTTGACATAGGGTCAGGCTGGAAAAGAGCTAGCGGTGGTCAAACCGAAACATGGCTTCATCAGTCAATGAAATCCACAATAGTTAGTTTAAGCCAGTCACGTAGGAAGGTGTAGACTGGCTTCCTGGTTGGGGTCCTAGGGACGGTAAACACCAATGGTTGGAGATAATCAGTGATATGGCTCAAAATTGTTCTCAATGGCTGGCGCAGATGCATCCACTCCTTGTGACTTATAATTTCCAGTAAAACTATATTCTTCGTTATTACTATTCCTTTTGTCTCATATCCCTGTCTACTGTCTGTATTATTCATTTTTTTTCTTTCTTCTCTTGCTTTGTGTGCTACAAGAAGGGAGTGTGGCGACTTGAACTGGTGCACATTGGTGCAAAGTTCTATGTTGAAAACAGACAGACAGACAGTACCGAATTCATTCTTTTCTGAAATCATTACCGTAGCTAACTCTATAGTGGGACAAACACTAAACGTAATAGAAATGTGTGAAGAAAGTTTGACCGAAAAGATTTTAAGATATAGTTGTCGAATAAATGGGATAACTAAAATCTATATTACAATTATGGTACTCAGAGTTATTATAACGTTCACTTATTTGATGGTATGGTTTGTTCGCAGTTATAATAATAAACTTGTTTTACCTACTATGTAACTGATACTTTTTCACTGGTGCGGGTCTTGTCATGTATCTGTTGACGCTTACTGAAACTATGCAGTGTATCATCTGTAGAACGGCCATCATCTCTTTCTGAAGGACGGCCAGTTAGTAGAAGGTTGACAGAACAGTGGAGTTAGTCAGAACAAGCGAAATGTTCCGATAGAAAACAAAAAATGTACTTATGTTCACAGCTTTTTTCACCAGATGAGATGAAGATAAGACTTGTTATGCACAGCTTAATACTATAGTTCATTTCAACAGAATTTCGATTGTTTGTTTTGGAATTAAACGTAATCTGTGTAGTTTTGTCCAAGTTGTGTCATAGCTTTAGATTAGTTATTTATCAAAAAGAGTGTATTTAATCTTTGCATTAGTACTTACTGGCTTTTCTGTTGCACTGGAAAAAAAATAGGTCCCTTTCTGCTTGACAGTTTCATTCGACTAGTGCTTCATCAAACATAGTGGTGCACTTACTATTTTTATTCATTCCTCTGTGTTCCCAGTAGGATGCAGGGCCTTAAGCTTTGATGTTTCACTAGCGCTTGTGTTGTATTAAAGTGGGGGTGAGGTTGGTAGCCTGAAGTTAAACCTTCCTCCTTTCCCTAACCTACTACTACTGCCTAGGTGAGGTTTGTGAGTGCGTCGGCCAGGAATCGAACCCTGGCCACTTGCGTGGATGATGAGAATTCTACCTCTGAACCAGTTACGCAGGCACCCATGCATTATTAGTACTGTATTTTCTACAGACATTAATGTCATACAGTGTTGTCATATTTGATATTACTACTTCCTTTCAAATAGCTTTTTACTCTTTTCGAAGTGAGAGTTCCATGTGTATTTTTAAATGCAAACAGACATATGTAAACCAGTTGTAAGTTAGAAATAGAACCTGAAAACTTCTCTCACTCAGTTAAGTGAACTGTTGGCTTATAAATAGTAACAAAAGTTATATGATTGCATGGAGGATTTCATCATGAGCTGACATCAGTTAGACAACCACTGGATAACCTGGTAGTTCTGGACAGCTGTTTCGTCCTGGTTTGGAACTCTTCAGCAGTACGCACCCACCGGGATTCGAACCCAGGACCTTCTGGTTACAAGGCGAGCTCGTAGACCATTGAGTCACTGGGACCCGATCCAATGGCTAGCCCACGAATTCTAACTTCTGCCAATTCACGACATAACGCGACCATTTCGCAATGTCTTTTTCGGTGAGTTACTGCCTCATCTTCAACCTGCTCTACCCTACTGGTCACGGCTTCCCACTAGAACCCCAGGTTAACTGCCTGAATAGGCCAGTAATTCTCTAACTGGTGTCAGCTCGTGATGAAATCCCCCATACAATCAAACTAAATCCCTACAAAACCAATACTTGAAAAGTTTAGAAATCATGATACCAAAAAGTGTAGAGGGGAAACAGTCGAGATGATTTAAAGTAATCGATTCTCTACACTTGTTTCAAAATTGTTATATCTTGTAGAATGCACTTAATTACAGAATGTCGTTTAACTGTATTCACTGAAAGACATTAATATTCCGCTTGTTCATCAGTATACTGTTAATTTATTGAGCAACTTGACCGTATTCCTAATTGATTACTCAATTGCTGAATCGCTCAATACATTATATATTGTTTCTATTATCATAGATATTCACGAAGGTGCCTTCGATGATAACTGCGAATGGTTTTGCTCGGGACACAGTTAAAATTCTCCTTGCTCGTGGTCATACAGCAGCTGCTTTTGAAGTTTTCAAAAGAATCTATTCAAAGGATATGAAAATTGGATATCTGTATTCTCTGCTTCGTTATGCTGCTCATGGTGGTCTAGTCAGTGATCTTTTTTTATTTTCATTAGTTTTTTTCGTCTTTTTTGGTATCACCTTTGTGTATGAATTTTCAAGTGTTCTGATTAAAGTATACAGTGAATTAATGTAGTTGTCTGTGGCTTAAGGTGACGAGATATTTGCGTATTTGATTTATATATATACCTTGAGCAGTAATTTTCGAATGTATGGCATGCATTTTGCCGCTGTGAAATGTAAGATGACGCTAAAGGGCTGGATTGCACCGACTTTTATCCTCAAGATAGAAAGTGAAGTGATAGAATGTGTCTTTTTTTTATTCCTTTACGTTCCCAGTGGAACATAGGGCTTCAAGCTAGAAGCATTTTGCAGGATGGGGTTGCTATCGTTATGCCAAACCTATCCTCTTTGCCAGTCTTACTACTGGCTTAGCGAGGTGAAGGAGTGCTTCGGCCGGGGATCGAACCCTGGACCACCTGAGTGGTCGGTGAGCGCTCTACCGCTCGCACCAGATAGAATGTGTTGGTAATAACTTATTTTGGAAGTTGCATCATCCCCCAACTCGTTGACTCGTTGCTGACGAAGTTTCATCACAGATAAAAAAGGCTCATGTGGTATTTGCCACCCTGCATCATCTCTCTGGAGTAGACATGATATCTGGGTATCTGTTAAAGGACGTATGTATTAAGGAACAGTTCACTCTGTCCCTCTCTGTGACCGTGAGAGACACAGCCATTGAAAGTGAAAGACATGAAGAGGTTAGTTGTCTTTCATCATAGGTGTCTGCGTCGTATCTTCCATATTAGGTGGTATTATTATTATTGTTCCCTTGGGTTCCTAGTGGAACATAGGGCTTCAACTGCACGCCTCCACTTGCTTCTGTCTTCTGCTGTACTTTTCACTTGCATCCATGTTAGTTCATACTGTTTCAACTCCTCTTCACACGATCTCCTCCATGTCACCCTTGGACGTCCCACTCGCCGCTTCCCTTTCGGGTTCCACTCGAGGACTGGCCTGACGCGCGATGTCACCCCGCAGCGGCCTCCTCAGCGAGTGTACAATCCATCTCCACTTTCTCCTGCATATTTGTTGGGCGATTCTTTCCTGTTTTGTTTGTTCCCATAGTTTCTTGTTGGTGATTCTTTCCCGCCATCTGATCTTCAGTATAGAGCCAGGGAATACAGTTGTTGATAAAGGTCTGCAACAGGCTGTTGAAAATATTCTTTGTGACCCACTGGCCAAGTTTCTGATCCATCCGTATAGAAGAACTGACTGACTTGACGTTTGTATTGAAAATCCGAATTTTGTTGTTGATTCAGGCTGAGTGACAGCGGAAGATTTCCAGATTGGTTTCAGGTAGATGAATTTGTTTCTCGCCTTCCTGATTCTCGATTTGACATCCTCGTTCGTTCCTCCTGTAGTTGAGACAATGCTCCGTAGATGATTGAATGAAGTAACCTCTTTCAAATCCCTCTCGTTGATGGTGATTGTTGGTGGATGTTGCTGTTTCTGTTGTTGTTGGTTGGTTATTTTCATAACCTGTGTGGTATAATATGATAATATGGCGACTAGACGTCGAGTGCTAAGTAAGAAGAGAAATTCAATCGATGACGTTATGAAGCTGCATCGCCTTCCTGGACGGGCAATGTTAGCTAATTGACAGAGGATGAGGTTGGAAAAGAGCTAATGGTGGTCAAACGAAACTATGGAATCACTCCATGAAATATTTTACAGTTATTTTAAACCACATATGATGGTGTAAACTGCCAACTCGGTTGGGATCCTTGGAACGTTAAGAACCAATGGTTGGAAACACTTGGTGATATAGTTGAGAATCATTCTCAATGATGGCGCAGATGCATTCACTCTCTGTGATCTGTCATATTCAAAAATACCGTATATTTCTATGCTACTATTCATTCTCCCTTCCCTTACATTTCTGCTTATTGTCGTTCTTCCGAATCTTCTTTTTCTCTTTTCTCTTCCTTTATGTGCAACATAGAGGAAGTGTGGCTACTCGAACTGTTACACTTTTGTGTATAGTTCCATGTTGAAACTAGTCAGTCAGTCAGTCAGTCAGGTGTATGTATGTATCATGGAGTAAAACAGAGTAATTTACTAGGAAAAGTTTTCAGTACATTTTGATCCTTGATTTTTAAGAGTTAGTTTGTAGAGATTTGCTCTGCTTCAAGTTCGCTTCGTCCTTCTCTATGGCTCTGAAACATGGCCAATACAAGTTGAAGACATGGAAAGGTTGTCTGTTTTTGATCATAGATGTCTACGATCTCTTTCTCACGTTAGGTGGTCTAATAAGGTAAGCAATGTTGACGTTAGGCGTAGAATGTTGGGCAAAGAGGGAAAATCAATCGAAGAGGCTATAAAGTTACATAGATTGAGATGGCTACGTCATGTGCTGCTCATGCCCAACCATCGCCTCCCCCTCCCGACGGGCATTACTAGCTGATTAGGTGCAGGTTGGAAAAGAGTAAGTGGTGGCCAAACAAAAACATGGCCTCATCAATCCATGAAATCCTTGACAGTTAAACTGAGTCAGGTAGGGAGGGAGATGCAGACTTCTGGGTTGGGGCCCGCCCTCGGGACTCTAAGAATCAATGGCTGGAGACAATAGGTGACATGGCTCAAAATCGTTGTCAATGGCTTACGCAGATGTATTCAGTCTCTGTAATCTTTCATATTCCTTTCTACAATTACTCATTCTGTTTCACTCTTATACTTGTCAAAACTCTATTGGTTCTCTCCTCACTCATCTTCTTGTCTACCTTTGTGTGCTACTTGGAACGTGGCAACTCGACTTGCTGCACTTCGGTGCCAAGTTCTATGTTGAATCCAGCCAGCCAGCCAAGTTTGACCATTGATTGATGTCAGTTAAAGAAGCATTGAAAATCAGTACTGAAGTACTGGACAGCAGCTGTTTCGTCATCCTAGTTCGGGATTCATTGGCAGTACGCACTCACTGGGGTTTGAACCTACAACCTTCCGGCTACAAGGCAAGCTCATAGATCCTTCAGTCAATGGGACGCGACTTGGAATTATCAGATAGTACTCAAACTTATCAAATTTGACTGTATTTGTCAAAATAACAATAGAATATCTCATGTTTGTGAAATGCCTTCAAATTATTCTTGTTAAATATATACGCTCAAAGTTAATTTCGGTTAATTGGAAATTCTTCTATCAGTCGCCTCTTAAAGACAGTATAATTGGTTTTTACAAATGTCACTTTGTTTAATCTGATGATGTGAGCGCGAATAATCGTGTATGTGACTGTGATTGGGTTGTTCTCAAGTATTGATTTGCAGGGATTCGTTTGATTTCGAACTGACTTCATTGAGAGGACCACTGAAAACCAGGGAGTACTGGACAGTCTTGTTTGGGACTTTCCATCAATGCGCACCCACGGCTCGATCGAGAATCGAACTCAGGATCAAGTTGTTTCTGAGAAGAGATATACATTGATAACATTGGCTAACGGTCGCGCTGTATTTTGCGAAACGGCAGAAGTTAGAACTGATGGTCCGTCGGAATCCATCCCGGTGGCTGGATGGCCCTGGTCCTGAGCTCGGTCCTTGACGAATCACGACTGCCTCCTGTTTTAGAGTCTTAAACAAGGACAAAATAGATGTCCAGTAATCTATAGTTTCTAACGGTTGTCTAACTGAATTAAATTGATGATTGAGCTTGAAGTTAAGCAATTCTCTAAATTTATTATCGTTTTACAACCTAACAGTTTCGAAAGCGGCTGTTTGTATATAAGCCCATTTGAGAGAGCGAAGTGAATTAAGTTGTATGACAAGTCGAAGACTGGATTTTCTCTTCATGATGCCACCATCATTTCGTATGGTGTTTTTGTGAGCAGGGATCCGACTCAGTGGTGCGTGAATTGTAGTGAGAAGTTGTGTGATCAGTGAGGTCCACTTGGACTGGAGTGAGGATAATCGCCCTCCAATTACGTTGGCTAGTGGTCACTCTGAAATCACGAGTCGGTAGGGATTAGAGTTCATGGGCTGTGAATGGTCTATGACTTTACTTGACTTGTAACCGGAAAGTCCCAGCCTTGAAACCTGGTGGGTGCGTACTACTAATGAATCCCAAAACTAGTCGGACGAAACTGATGTCCACTAGTCCCTGCTGGTTTCCACTGGTTCTCTAAATGATATCAATCCATGGTCAATCTTGAAATCCTCTTGGAAAAAATCCTGAATATATAACAGAAGACAGTGTACAGTCTTTTGTTCTCTTTAACTTCTACCTTATATGATTGACCAGTGTTGATTTTTATGAGATGCGGTTGCTAGCCTCACACTCAACCTTCCCTCTTTGTCGGGCCTGCAACCGGCTTTGGGAAGTAAAGGTGTACACACCGGACGGGGATTGAACCCCGAACCGTCTGTTGTGTCTTGACTTTTATACCTGAGGAGGAGGAGGAGGAGGTTATTAGAGGCAATTCTTGACTCCAATTGTTCTTATTCTAACATTTCTCATCGTATAATGTTTTTTTGTTTTTTACCTTTTTGTTTGTTTCTTTGTTTTGTTTTACAGAATCCAGAGTCATTACAACCGTTTTGGAAAGTGGCCGCTGCTGATGACGCACATTTTGAATCACTTAACAATCAAACAAAGTTGTGTAAGTTATTCAAAAGCTTTCATATATATCTCTAATACACATGAATGTCTGTAGTCTATCTACATCAGTAGGATTAGAGGTACAACAGTTGTTCTCTGTCATTGTTTTTGTCTGGTGGGATGACCTAACCATTATTTGGTCACAGGTTTGAGAGTCAGTTCATTTCTGTCTGTCTGTTTTCGACATAGAACTTTGCACATATGTGCGCCAGTTCAAGTCGCCACACTCCCTCCTTGTAGCACACAAAGCAAGAGAAGAAAGTAGGAGAAATACATAATATAGACAGTAAACAGAGGTGTGAGACAAAGGAATAGTAATAACGAAGAACAAAACAGTTTCATTGGAAATCATAAGTCACAAGGAGTGGATGCATCTGCGCCAGCCATTGAGAACGATTTTGAACCATATCACCGATTGTCTCCAACCATTGGTGTTTACCGTCCCGAGGACCCCAACCAGGAAGCCAGTCTACACCTTCCTACGTGACTGGCTTAAACTAACTGTTGTAGATTTCATTGACTGGTGCCATGTTTTGTTTTGACCGCCGCTAGCTCTTTTCCAGCCTGACCCTATATCAGCTAACATTGCCCGTCGAGGAAGGCGATGACTAGGCATGCGTAACACATGTCCTAACCATCTCAGTCGATGTAGCTTCACAGCCTCATCGACTGATTTCCCCTCCTTACCTAGCACTCGACGCCTAACCTCAATATTGCTCACCTTATTATACCACTTCACACGGGAGATAGAACGCAGGCACTTATGATCAAAGACAGTTAGCCTTTTCATGCCTTCTACTTTCAGTGGCCATGTCTCACAGCTATAAAGGAGGACGGAGCGGACTGATGAGCAGGACACACGTCCTTTGGTCGATAGCCAGCCGGATATCGCGTCTACTAAGCAAGAGACGGTATTAACTTGTATATGCGAAACTAGCCATCTGTATCCGTGCTGAGATTTCGTCAGAGATCAACCCGTTGGCAGTGGCTGATGGTACTTCCCAAATAAGTGAAGCGGTTAACGTGCTCTACCACTTCACTTCCTATTTCTAATCTAGGGGTCGGTGTAGTACAGTCCTGCAACATCATCTTACATTTTACAGGGGCGAATCGCATGCCAAACATACGAAAATTGCTGCTCAAGGTGTTCAGAAGACTCTGCATTTTGTCAGCGTCCTCGCCTAAAAGGACTATATCGTCTGCATATTCTAAGTCAACGAGATTATTCCCTGGTAGCAAATCAATCCCTGAGTCTCTGAAGTGAGTTAGGGTTAAGTCCATTAGTACATCTATGATGAAGTTGAATAGATGGGGATAATGGGCAACCCTAATGCTAATCTTTCGATAATCTCCTAAACTTAACCTAACTCTATTCTATCCGTTTTGTGTGCGTCGGTGGTTCAGCGATGGAACAATCGCCACCCATGTACGTGGTTTGGAGTTCGATCCCCGGCCACGGACGCACTCCTTAACCCCTATGAACTGGTAAAGAGGGAAGGTTGGGCGTGTGAGGCTAGCAATCCTACCCTGTAAAAAATAAACACCACTGCTACCGAGACTTCAAAGCTCTATCTTGAAGCCCTATGGTTCCACTGGAAACGTAGAGGAATAAGTTAATTACTAATAAATAATCCTTCTGTAATATTATAACTCTCATCTGTTATAAGTATAAAACTTGGGCACTGTGGTGGTACAGTATAACTCCATTATGGATAAGATTTTATTTTGACAAATCGCATAGTGTGTATCGCATGGGTGTATTCAGATGAAGAATCCCAGATAGGACGAAATGCACATTTTGGATCACACTTCTAGTCTCTGCTATTTACCAGTAAAGCTTTCTTGTTTATCCTTTAAGATTATTTTATATATTAGTTGACGTAGTTTTTATCGATTGCTAAGTTTCTCTCTAAAAATGGTTATATTTCTCTTATATTTTTGACATCTTTGCTGATGATAGATTTTCAACGACGTATTTCAAGGAAGTCTAATGAAGCCGGTGAAGAGGCGTACAGAAATCCAAGTGAAGAAAATGTTGAAGGTTAGTAAAATCTTCAAGATATTGGAATTATTCCGTGTCATTACTACTCAGTGTGTTAAAATAACCCATTACATTTGCTTCAACAGACTATCACAATTGATAAGTGCGCACAAAAATAGAAATCCTTATTATACACTATAACAAACGGAAATTTATGAGGGACAAAATAATTGTTTGGAGATTAATAAGAATGTAATTAATCTGGGGGGGGGGGTCACAAAAAGTGAATGCATCTGTGCCATTGAAAACGATTTTGAACCTTGTCACTGATAATAGTCTCCAACCCTCAGTTCTTAGCCTCAGAAGAACTAGAACAAGGCAGTTTATATCTCTCCCTACATGATTAAAACCAACAGTCGAAGCCTTCATACTTAGCTGTTTACTCCCATCCAATCTTACATGTCCGAGGGTGTCATGGAAGAGATGAGAGGCTATGGGCGAACGTGGACCCAGCTGAAGAGGACAGCAGAAAACAGAACATAGTGGAGATGTGTTGTTGAAGCCCTATGTTCCAAGGGAACAATAATATGATGATAATAATACAGTTCCAAACTTTGTGGTGAGAGCTGGCTGCAAGCCGAAAATTGTAGACAACAACAATTTACGTCAATGTTTACGTTCCCGAATCGGGGTTAATGAGAAAAAAAACAATAACAAAGCTAAACCTTGAGGAACTCACCAACCAATCGCAGAAGACTTAACGTGTGCAACAAATACGATTCGCAGATATATGGCTTAACTTTCTAAAAAACGATCACAAGCAGTGCAGAATAACCTTGGGAAAGAAAACAATCAATCGGAAGAGGTTGCTTCTCCGCTAACAATAATGTACATAATCTCTATAAATATCTATTGATTTTCTGAATAAACGATCTGTTGCCTGACCCCTTGTCTTCTGTCGCTACACTTCTACTGAATTGATAACAATCAGTGGTGTCCGTCAAGGATGTCCACTTTCCCCTTTTCTGTTTAACTTCATCATAGATATGCTAATGGAAGTATCCCC